CTAGAAGAGGGATTGATACCCCTAATTAAAAAAAGTAAAACAATTAAAATTAATCGGGAAAAACAGTTGCTATACTATGATCATACACTTAATTAAGTAATAATTTTAGGTTAAATATTAATTTAAGTCCATAAATTTTGCATTTTAATCACCTTAGATTCCTACATTAATTTTATCACTTTTTCATCTTTTAACACTATAGGTTGGTACTTTTTTTTGTCAATCTGTTAGTTAAATAATGATGTGATTGTTAATTCATTTATACTCTATTTAATTAGAAGAATAAAAATTTATTTCAATTAAGAAAGGAAAAATATCTTAAAATATATATTTTTTTATCTTGAATTATGAAAAACAATCCATTCACATCTCTTAATTCATTTCACTTATATACTATACGATTTAAATTTAATATTTTTTATTTTCAATAAAAAAATTATCCTTAAACTAATTATCAATGACAAATGTCTTAAAATATTTCAATTAAAGATAAAGATTAAAATTTTAAATGTTAAGATATCTTAAAATATTAAACAATTTTAAAATTATAAATATCAAAACGTTTTAAATTTTATTTTCTTTAAACACTATTAACACCTAATTTTAACTTAAATTTTATTTTCTCAAAACATTATTGATACCTAATTTTAACTTGGAATTAGCATGTTGCGCTGACGGATCCCCTTGTTTCCTAGGAGGTAGAAAAATGGAGCTGACCAGTGTTTTAAAACCACGGTTCGTCTGGTCCGGTTGAACCTGTTCAACCAGACCTAGGTATAAAAATGGGCTGGTTATGTACAACAACTCGTTTGTAAGGTCAACCTATCAAACTCGCCAAAACCTGCCGAACCCGCTAAACCCATCTAAACCGGCTGGCTGTTTTAAAAATTCTTAATTAAATTTTTTATAATTTTTTCCGTTTTACCAATTTTAGTCCTACTTTTTTTCATTGTTATTCCCTTATTAACCTTATCTTAATTCAGGAATTAACCAAAATTAAAAAATTCATAACTCTAACTCAATTTTCTTCTGTTCCTATCACGGATCGGCTCCTCCCCTGCCTCTGCCAGTCCGTCACTGTCCTCTACAATCCCCAGCCACCACTCACCCCCACCCCACAGTAGCCAACTGCCAACCGGACCGTTAAGTGTACTCTTGTATTATAAAAAAAAGTCCTAGAAATAGGCTAAGTGTACTCTTGTATTATAAAAAAAATGTCCTAGAAATAGGTTCGGTGACAATTAAATTAGACTTGAGATAGTACTAAGCAGATCATAATTAAGATTTATAAAAAAATTAATTAAACTAATTAAGAAAGTTTGTGTTAAACCAACAGACTAGTCAAGAGTTTACCTTCGCTATAGCTTTTCTTTTCAACGAATCAAAGCTGAGAGTGATGGAGTGATATTGCAATTAAACAACGTAGAAAAAAATACAGGAGTACGCTTAGTTGGTGGAAATAACTACATGTTAGAAAATATTTTTCCATGAAAAATTATTTTTTAAAAAGAAATTATTCTCTTTATTTGAAATATTCTATAAATTTTTAATGAAAAGTAATTTTTACTGTTTGGTTAGCAAAACGATGTTAAAATTTGCTAAAATTGAGTGGCAAAGGAAATTGAATCGTTTACATAGAGTATGGGATAAAAAAATAATTATTGTGACTTATATTTGACATTTACAATTAAAATAAAAATAAATTTCTCTTTTTTCCGACGAAACGGAAAATAATGACCAATTCTTTAAATCCACAATCAATAAGAGAAGAGAGACAGAACTCGCCCTTAAAAAAAAAAAAAAGGAGTAAGGACTTATTGTTTAACATTTAATGTAAGGGTTTTTCTAAAGGGCACATGTTAAAAATCTTTAAAAAATAAAAAAATAATATTTAATTTATTAATTATTTAATTAAATTTATTTATATAATATTAATATTAAAATTAATACTTATTTTTACACTTTTTTAAAAAAGTTTATTGTAAAAATATGATCTTAAAGCATAAATTAAACAAATTCTTAATGTAATTTTACGATAATTTTTTATTAAAAACAGAATTAAATAATAAATTGATCATTACATATTAAATAATAAATTATTTATCTTAATGGATAATTTAAAGATAATTTATTTTTAATTTTTTAATAAGGATATGTTGTGTGGTGTGTACTTGGGGTTCAGATCAGACAAAAATAATATACTAATTAATTAACTATTATCCAATAATTATAGCTCAGGGAGATGATAAATAAACTGTGAACTAAATAAAACCTGTTAGCGGTTCTTCCTTAGGATGGAAGACAATTTCTTGAAGCTTGGCTGTTTCCACAACCGCGCTGGGAGAAGCCGTTTCCACCTTAGGCTGTTTCACCATACATAAAACAAATTAAAAAACTTCTTACTAAAAAATATTAAAAAAAAACTTCGATATGGTCAGAGAGTTTCGTCCGCCATTGTGCTGTTTTACCTGGTGTACAGGGTCCGTCCCCCGAGTGGAGTTTCTCGGCCTTTCTTATGTTTGTTCCGGGGTTGATGGGGCTTTTTGCTCAGCCTTGAGTGGTTTCGATGGAGCGTGGTTTGGTGGTAACAGGGGGTTAATGGATCGGAGGGGCTAGTGAAAAAGAATGAAGTCTGGGAGAACAATTACCAGTTAAGTTGTTAAGTTCTAAACGTGGTGGGTGTGGTTCATTTATAGTAGTATATGGAGCTTAAAAGGTAAATATCTTTTTTTTGTAAATTTAAAATTTTGTTGAAAGAGAAATTAAAAATTAATTTTTTTATGGAATTTAAAATTTAATTTTTAAAGAAATTTTAAGTAAGTTTAAGAATATTTTGAAACGTATAACTTTTTTAAAATTAAAAATTACTTTAAAAGGTTAAAATTTAAAATTTATTCTAATAAACATTTAAATTTGGAAGGGAAACCTTTACTTTTAATGTAAGTGATTTCCATACCTACGTTATGAGACAAAGAGTATTTTTCACTCCGTCAAAAATTTTCATAAAAACCCTCATTCTTATCGTTAACAGTTGATAAGATTGGAAATGGAAATGGGGATGGGAAGTGTTGTGTACCTTGACAAAAATTTCCATAAAAGTCTACATTCCTATCATCAATGGGTGATGGGACTAGAAATGAAAATGACGATAAAAGGTGTATCTACTTTCGTATGGATATGCTATCAATAAAATATAAGATAAAAAATAAATTATTAAAAATATAAGATAAAAATTCTCAATAAAAAAATTATATATTTATGGGACTTATTGTTCTTCACGATACGAGACAAAGAGTATTTTTGTCTCTGACAAAAATTTTCATAAAAATCCTCATTCCTATCATTAACGGTTGATGAAGCTGAAAATGGAAATGGGGATGGAGGTGTACCTACTTTCGTGTGGACCCATTACCAATAAAATATGAGATAAAAAACAAATTACTAAAAACATAAGATAGAAACTCCCAATAAAAAAATCATATACATATGCAAACTCTCATTCTCCACCCTATGAGACAAAGAGTATTTTTGATCCCGTCAAAAATTTCCATAAAAGTCCTCATTCCTATCATTGACAAGTAATGGGGCTGGAAATGGAAATGGGAATGGTAGGTGTACCTACTTTCGTATGGATCAATTACCAATAAAATATGAGATAAAAAAATAAATTATTAAAAATACAAGATAAAAAATCCCAATAAAAAAATTCATCTTCTTATGGACCTATTGTTTTTCACGATATAAGACAAAGAGTATTTTTGATCTCATCAAAAATTTCCACAAAAATCCTCATTCCTATCATCAACAGGTGATGGGACTGGAAATGGAAATGAGGATGAGAAGTGTTGTGTACCTTGTCAAAAATTTCTATAAAAATCCTCATTCCTATCATCAACAGGTGATGAGACTGGAAATGGAAATGGGGATGGGAAGTGTTATGTACCCCGACAAAAATTTCCATAAAAATCCTCATTCCTATCATTAACAGGTGATGGGGCTGGAAATGGAAATGGAAATGGGGATGGGAGGTGTACCCACTTTCATATGGACCCATTACGAATAAAATATAAGATAAAAAATCCCAATAAAAAAATCATATTCATATGGAAACTCATTCTCCACGCTATGAGACAAAGAGTATTTTTGATTATGTCAAAAATTTTCATAAAAATCCTCATTCCTATCATTAACAGGTGATGGGGCTAGAATTGGAAATGGGGATGGGAGGTGCACCTAGTTTCGTATGGACCCCTTACCAATAAAAAATCAGATAAAAAACAAATTATTAAAAATATAAGATAAAAAATCTCAATAAAAAAATCATATACCTATAGATCTATCATTCTTCACGATATGAGACAAAGAATATTTTTTATCTCGTCAAAAATTTTCATAAAAATCCTCATTCCTATCATCAACAAGTGATGGGACTAGAAATCGAAATGGGGATGAGAAGTGTTGTGTACCCTATCAAAAATTTCCACAAAAATTTCCATAAAAATCCTCATTTCTATCATCAACACGTGATGGGACTGTAAATGGAAATGGGGATGGGAAGTGTTGTGTACCTTGACAAAAATTTCCATAAAAATCCTCATTTCTATCATTACCAGGTGATGGGGCTAGAAATGGAAATGGGGATGGGAGGTGTACCCACTTTCGTATGGACCCATTACCAATAAAATATAAGATAAAATATCCCAATAAAAAAATCATATTCATATGGAAACTCATTCTCCACGCTATGAGACAAAGAGTATTTTTTATTTTGTCAAAAATTTTCATAAAAATCCTCATTCCTATCATTAACAAGTGATGGGGCTGGAAATGGAAATGGGGATGGGAGGTGCACCTAGTTTCGTATGGATCCGTTACCAATAAAATATAAGATAAAAAACAAATTATTAAAAATATAAGATAAAAAATCCCAATAAAAAAATCATATACCTATGGACCTATCGTTCTTCACGATACGAGACAAAGAGTATTTTTGATCTCGTCAAAAAATTCCACAAAGATCCTCATTCCTATCATCAACAGGTGATGGGATTAGAAATGGAAATGGGGATGAGAAGTGTTGAGTACTGTGTCAAAATTTTCCATAAAAATCCTCATTCCTATCATCAACAGGTGATGGGATTAGAAATGGAAATGGGGATGGGAAGTGTTCTGTACCCCGACAAAAATTTCCCTAAAAATCTTCATTCCTATTATTAACAGGTGATGGGGCTGGAAATGAAAATGGGGATGGGAGGTGTACCTACTTTCGTATGGACCCATTACCAATAAAATATAAGATAAAAAATCTCAATAAAAAAATCATATTCATATGGAAACTCATTCTCCACGCTATGAGACAAAGAGTATTTTTGATTCCGTCAAAATTTTCCATAAAAATCCTCATTCCTATCATTAACAGGTGATGGGGCTGAAAATGGAAATGGGGATGAGAAGAGTTGTGTACCCTGTCAAAAATTTTCACAAAAATCCTCATTCCTATCATCAACAGGTGATGGGACTGGAAATGGAAATGGGGATGGGAATTGTTGTGTACCCCGACAAAAATTTCCATAAAAATTTTCATTCCTATCATCAATAGGTGATGGGGTTGGAAATGAAAATGGGGATGGGAGGTGTACCCACTTTCATATGGACCCATTACCAATAAAATATAAGATAAAAAATCACAATAAAAAAATCATATTCATATGGAAACTCATTCTCCACGCTATGGGACAGAGTATTTTTGATTTCGTCAAAAATTTTCATAAAAATCCTCATTCCTATCATTAACAAGTGATGGGACTAGAAATG